CCTCAGCGGGAGTCGAACCGCGACATTGCAGAATGGGAGCTTGACACGCTAACCACTCGGCTACACTGCCACAAGTAGCCTCGAGTCACAGGGCATAAGTGAATTTCAAGTTTGTGATCCTAAAGGAAATAGACAATAATTACCTTGGGGATAACAGGGTAAGAAACAAGAAGATTTCAAATTGATTTGTTTATTTGCCACCTCGATGTTGACTTAAGAATATAACTAGGAGTAGAAGCTTAGTTTGTAGGTCTGTTCGACCTTGAAATTCTTTCATGAGTTGAGTTAAGACCGACGTAAGTCAGGTTGGTTCTTATCTATTTTGGTTTTTCATTAGTACGAAAGGATTGTGACCTAAGCTGACAACATTCTTATTCACAAGAGTGAGATGAGCATGTCGTGATGTAAGATGCATTTGGCAACAAGCCCATCTTTAGCGGTTGTCAGGGCCAGAAATAAGTCCAGACTAGGTTGAAATGCGGACGAAAATTCACAATTTAACACATCGTATCATCTTGCAATCCACTCTCGCAGACCGGCCTCTCGACAGTATCGGCTAGTTTATTCTTCGGGCAGGCTGGCTCCCCCCAAATCGGTTAACAAGTGGCACCGTTCTCCCAGAGACTGAAGTAAACAGACCGTATAACACGAATGTAAAATCTCTAATTTCTAAGGTCGATTTGGTTGGATTGAAGAAATGCATTAGGAGTGCGCAAAAAGACCGGCTCATGAGAAAACTCACACCACGCAAACATAGCATCCACGCAATCATTAATTATGTCAACAAAATTTTACTAGAAATGTTGATGGAGTGAAACTTTGAAAATATCGGATACAAAATTAGTTAAAATATAAATAAGCGCGTCAGAACTGTGTAAACACCAAATACGATTTTGTAACCAGCCCTTCAAATCGATCACCATTAACATCATAATCGCTGGCATTTATTGTAATATATACGGAATTTTGCAATGATGCATTGAGAAAATTATTTATTATTAAATTAACTTCACTCTACCACATTGTGATAATTGCTATTCATCAACCGCCTCTACGGGGTCTGAGCCAGAGCCGGCGAGTTCATACAATATATCGCTGAATGTTTGCATTATTCTATCCAGTTTGGTACATTTCGGAATAATTTCTTTGCTGAGGTCATATTGTCTGCTTGTTCTTCTTCCCAGATTACCTGCCAATTCCGAACTATCCCAACAATAAGGTATTCCAAATAACCAGCACAATTACCCATTTATATACTGGCATAATTATAAAAGCATATAAAAATCAAAGTTACAAGGTCATCCGACCTAAGCTCAATGACCCTATCTCTTTTTGCACATGCATATAATTATACATATATTATATATATTCCTGCTTCCATTTCTATAGGAATAAACATATTGAATGTAGATGGAAGATATAATGAACAGATTGATAGTTTATGCATAAATGTG